AAATCCGGAGCGTGACGTTGAAAGGGAAGCCTAGGTTTTCCGACTTCAACTTGGTGCCGCAGAATTGGGGGGCTGATATCCACGCGTGGCTGGTCGTTTTCGCGGCTAAATATCCGTTCCTCGAAGAGCTTAGGCTTAAGCGAATGACAATCAGCGATGAAAGCTTGGAGTTTTTAGCGGTTTCTTTCCCCAACTTTAAAGCTCTCTCGCTTTTAAGCTGCGACGGTTTTAGCACTAACGGACTCGCTGCCATTGCCACTCACTGCAAGTAAGCTCCTTACTTCTTCATCTTCTTTTTTTTTTTTTGGAAATTCAAAATTATTTTCTCATTTTCATAGTGTTAGAATCTCAGTGAAAGCTATTTCTTTTTCAAAAAAAAGTTCCTTTTTTATCTTGGGGTATATTTGGGTATATACTGTAGAAGTTGAAGGAGAAAAAAAAAAGAAAAGTGGATTCTTTTTTAATTTCTTTTTTGTTGGGCTCCTTCAGTGTTTTCTTTGGGGATGTGACGTTTGACCAGTGATTTTCAAGGAGTATTTTGATGGATACCTTATCATTGATGTCATTGCCAGCAGCACAAATATCATATCCCCTCATTTTGCATTATTGGGAAATTAATTTTATGATAAGATAACATGTTACCTCTTTTCTAAGTCCAGATGCATTATTGGAAATTAAATTTATGTGCTTTTGTTGCTACCATTAAGGCTTGGTTTCCAATGAAAATTTCCCTTTGTTTTTTTACCATGAAGCTATGGTTAATATGATTTTGTTTGACCTTTTCAATAAGAAGTCAGCTTAGCTGTTGACCCCCTTCCACCCCCTGATTTGTAGATGTAAGGTTGGATATTATCTTCATTTTCCATCTTTGATGTCAATGATCAGGCCTTAATTGTAAGGGATCCAAGCTAAGAATATAGTTCCCTTGAGATGGAAGCAGAAAGAATTTTTAAAGTTTATTTATATATTTTTGAAGTAGTTCCCTTTCTTTTTTATAAAACTAATTACCTGAGATGGTGCCCTTTCGCCCAATTAATTGACCTATGCTTGGTTTTTGGTTAGAAAAGGATTTGACATGATTTTCTCTTCACTAGAAGAATAGGGACTTTTAGTGGAAACAAGAAACGGAACAGCTCATACTTTTTCCAAATTCCTTCACTTTTTTATCTCTCTTTTTCTGTTGATGTGACATTGAACCTTTTAATATGCATTTATTGGATGCATATCCTCGATGTTATCATTTCCCCAGTATGCCCATTTCATTGGTTGAGAGAATTTACATCTTTATCTGTCCTTTTGGAATGATTGAAGAAGAAATCTACCTACTTGGTTTCCAAGAGCTAAATGCCTGTAGACATGGAGTAAACGGTTTGGGAAGTCATAAGAAAATTTCCTCTGGTTCTTGGACTGTGTTTGATATCGTAATGTTTTGATCATCATTTAACCTGTCTTGTGCCTTTGTTAAATCTCACGCTATGGCTGTTGGGTTTTATCTTGTGAAAGAAAATTTCTAAGTTTTTATTTCGTTTGCAGGAACTTGACTGAGCTCGACATACAGGAGAATGGCATTGATGATAAAGGAGGTAGTTGGTTGAGCTGCTTCCCTGAAAGCTTCACATCATTGGAAGCACTGAACTTTGCCAACTTGACCAGTGATATTAATTTCGATGCTCTTGAGAGGCTTGTAGGTAGGTGCAAGTCAATGAGGGTTTTAAAGGTCAACAGGAGCATATCCTTGGAACAATTACAAAGACTTCTTGTTAATGCTCCTCAATTGGCAGAGCTTGGTACGGGCTCCTTCTCACAAGAACTTTCTTTCCGCCAATATGAAGAGCTTGAAAGCACATTAGATAGTTGCAAGAATATACATACACTATCGGGTTTGTGGGAGGCCAAGGGCTTATATCTCCCTGCTTTATATTCTCTGTGCATGCATCTGACTTTCTTGAACTTGAGCTATGCTCCTTTGCAAAGTGGTGAACTCGCTAAGCTTCTTGCTCACTGTCCACAACTTCGACGCCTTTGGGTAAGAAGGCTCCTTTGTTCAAGTATTTCCATCTGTCTCATTTTTAGGAAAATAGTTCTTGGATGGTTCCGTGCTATACTGCTATTGGCTTTGTAATGAGGTACTTAGAATCATTTGTGGACATAATCTTTGCCAATCAGGTGAGGCCAGGTTTTAAATTTTTTGTGTTGTCCTCCAAAAGAATTGAGAAATCATAGATACAGAATTCTTGTTGAAAATTTAGCTTGGATAAAGTTAGCAAACTGTTACTTGAATTTGTGGGTTTATAATGCATCGTAGAAGCTGCTGTATTACATTACAGAGTAAAGGGAATCAGGGATTGTCGACCAGTGTTTGTAGATTTGATTGGCCATAAGTAAAAGAGTATGCATATATGTGGATAGAGTACAGGAGGATTGTCTTATTACATTCAGTATCTTTTTCTTCTTGCTGACAATTTTTCACGCATTGTTAACATTTGTGATCTTGTAGCTTGCTTCACATCGTGAATGACTTAGACAAATTATTTTTTTTTTTGCCCATGAAGAGTTAGTTATTCAAGTAACAAACCCTCTGTGGCTTCCTACCTATCTAAAGTGTGTGTTGATCATTGAGAACCTCCACACTAGTTTAATAGCCATAAATGCTGGAGGGCTTAACTTTTTAAATTTGCTTTTGCTATAGGTCTTGGACACAGTAGAAGACAAAGGACTGGAGGCCGTTGGATTGAACTGCCCTTTGCTTGAGGAACTTCGAGTTTTCCCTGCTGATCCCTTTGATGAGGATATTATCCATGGAGTCACTGAAGCTGGGTTTGTTGCTGTGTCTCATGGTTGCCCAAGACTCCACTATGTCCTCTATTTTTGTCGGCAGATGACTAATGCAGCTGTAGCAACCATTGTCACAGAATGCCCGATTTTACGCATTTCGTTATGCATAATGGACCCAGGTCAACCAGATTATCTCACAAATGAACCATGGATGAAGCTTTCTGGTGCAGTGGTTAAGACATGCACTAAACTCCAGAGGCTTTCAGTTTCGGTCCTTAACGATCTGACATTTGAGTATATTGGTAGGTATGCAAGAACTTGGAGACCCTTTCAGTGGCTTTTGCGGCAGCAGTGACGGGATGCAGTGTGTTTTGAAGGTTGTCCAAAACTAAGGAAACTTGAGATAAGAGACTGCCCATTTGAATGCAGCACTGTTTCAGGTTTGGAAGTATGAGTCCATGAGGTCACTTTGGATGTCAGCTGCCAATGTGACAATGAATGCTTGTAGGCTATTGGCGAAGGAGATGCCCAGATTGAATGTTGAGGTGATGAAGGAAGATGGAAGTGCTGGTATTCAAGCAGATAAAGTATATGTTTATCGTTCTATTGCAGGCCCAAGGAGGGATGCGCCACCATCTGTGCTTACTCTCTGAAATGCTTGGTAATCTCTCTATCTCTCTGAAAGGCCTAAAAAATTTTAAAAATCTGGTTGCATTAAATAATAAATTGTTGGTTCTTTAATACAAAGAGTTTATAGTGGGTCAGTCAAAGGGCCTTGTTGAATGATGCCTTTTTTATATACAGAGTGGCTTGGATAAAGATATGTTTCATGATCCAGATCCATGTCTTAGTAATAAGTATCTTCAAGCTACCTTACATCTATTTAGTTAAGTTGTCTTAAGATGACTTGTGGCTGAATACGTTTCTCTGATAGAGCTGTGTGTATCTTTTTCTTATCAGTTATTGTTCATTAGGAAGCTGGGAATTTCTTACCTGTTAATTCTAACAATAAAGTATCATTGTTTTCAGCTGTAAAAAGTTACGCAGAAGATGACAAACCCTCCTGCAGGCACAGACTTAGGTTGATATTCATACAACCGAGCGATAGTGTAAAAGAATAAAATATGAGGATCTGCAGAACTTGAAATTGACTCTTCAACCTTGTTTCTTTCTTTGATAAGGCTCCAGGGGAACAGAAAAGCAGAAGAACATGGAAGGACAGTCTAAGCGTTTAAAGCCTCAAAGTTGGTAACAAGTTTGCTTCGTCTGCTTGATTTACTGCACCCCTGAAGAGCAAGATGGCGAGACTCCAAAAAGTGTATGAAACAACCACTGGCAGTGCGTCACAAATGAACTAAATCTGTCCCTACACACATTGCCACCAGATCCATACGACCTGTCAAAATCCTGCATATGGAACCAAACATCAAAATCTTCACATTTATGATTTCTTAATGCATTTGATACCCAGTACAAAGTTACAGTAGTTTCTAGCTTTGAGCCCTCACCTTTTTTATAAAGCGGCGTATATCGGTTGATCAGTGGCTTCAAATATATCGAGAGCCTTTGCAGCTAAGTGAAGTGCATCTTGCTGCATTTTGTGGAGCATGTCCGTCTCGCCTACGATTGCTTTACCCTCTAGCATCGCCGAATAAAGCTTTGTTATCGAGGAAGGAGCATGAAGAGAAGGGCAGTGGGAGACTGAAGGCCTCTGTGATGGAAGGATTATATAGAAAAATGAACCGAGGAAGTGGATGCTGCTGGCTTATTCTGCGAGGGTGAAGTCTGAACCCAAGCGTGTCTGGTCATCAACTGGTGCAATGGATTAAAGCCGGGTGGTTGCGTGAATACAATGGAGTTTGTTGGACCCATATGATCGGAGCTGGCTTACATATGCTAAAAGATCAACGGTTCTGTGTGCACAACTGCACAGTGTGGGCAAAAGCAGCAAAGGAGATGAAAACTATATCTGGGTCCTCGTTATCCTGGGGATGTAAGAGTTTGTGGTAGTATGACTCGTTTTGTTTCATTAATTTGATTAGTGTCTTTTTTTCCTTGCTTTGTTGCTGTTTTTCTCTTTATCTGAGTGAACGAAGACTTGGGTTTGCTCATGGAATTCTACTACTTGCAACAAATTGGGGTCTTTAGGGTATATCATTGCACGATATTTTACCAACCGAAGACAAAAGACTGCATCTCACTTTTAGAAGATGCCATATTGATTACTTTGGTTCCCCATCTCTCTGTCTCTCTTTCACTCTCACCTTTCTAGCCAAATTCGTTTGCTTTGAATTTCATGTGAATTCTCATTTACCAAGGCAAGTTTTAATGGGAAGGAGCCCTCTCCGTTAGCTTCCTAGTGGTATTTTCAGCAAAAGGGTTTAAAGAGGTGTACGATGCTTATGCCATGTTCGTCAATCTGGGTCATGGTTTATTATCATTAGGTCTTCAAGCTAAGCTGGGCTGAGTTTGACAGTCCATCCAAAAGTTACAGAAAAAGAAACAGGTTCACATGCCCCAGTATCACCTTTATCTGACTTAAGGGCACTTGGGGGAATCCACAAAGTAACTCACAGTGGACCTGTGAATCACACACATTGCCCTTAGATGTTGCTCCGAGAAGGGCATCCATGTGAACCACGAATCCACTGAAGCAATCAAGGCCTTTTTAGCATTTTTGAGTTACTTCTACGATTTCACTTCAAGGAAAAATAGAACCCCACTTTTTACCATTCCGGCACCACAGTCTGATTGGTGGGCTTGAAACGGTCCCTTTGTCACCTCACCCCAGCCCGTGGTTCCTAATGGGATCTGCCCAATATCCAAGTTCTGGAAAGGTCCACTCAAAGCCCTATCATCTTTATTCTGAATACTTGTGAAAGAAAACCATGTTCTCAACAAGCAAGATCTTCTCTCACTAATGCCATATAAGCTGACAAGCAAGTCAATTTATTAAATTCATGATTATCTTTTTAACCAGCTTTGGCTCTCATGAATCACATTTCTGGATTCTGGTAATCATTAGAACTCTGGGGTTAGTAAGATTTTGTGATGAGGGTGTTAATCATTGATTTGGTTCTTCATTCCACACTTAAAGCCCCTGACAGCACTCGGAACATAACTTGACGGTTAGGTTTGGTGAAAGGTATGTTTAGGTCTTTGCCCTTGAGATTTTAAGCCTGTTATCTTAAAACAGTCTTGTGCTTAAAATCCAACAACACAATGACACTAGCTAGTTGAAGGCAACTTTCTGGTAAGCCATCTCTTTCAAAATTGAAGCAATCATAATACCCATATGGCTATTGGATCTGTCTACGAAGGTCCCATGCTTGATATTTGATTTATCTTATCGTTTTCTTTCCCTGGAAGCTACAAAAACTAAAGCAATTCCATCAACATTACTACAATTATATTAAGTCAAAACAAAGCTCACGAGCATTCTAACTTAAATTTCGTGCTTTGACAGCATGCTCATTGGATCGCACTTGGGAATACAAAACAAAAGGAGTTAAAAGATCCTAGTCATGTTTTGCATTCCACGATCTATGCAAAGCATAGGAAGCAATATATCGGGATGGTTGGAAGGGCTAAATCGCGATGATTTCTGGGCTTCAAGCACATGTTGTGCTGTTGCATGTCCATTGACTGGTCGCAATTCATGATCTCCCTGGCGATATGCTCAGATAGCTAGTTGGAAAGCCGAACCAATTAGCTTTGCACCGGTGGCTCCACACCCTGTAGCGGTCTTTATTGTGTTTGGTCAAACAGTAAGGGCCCCTCAGCCCAAGGAGCAGGATTAGGATTAGGATTAAATTATTGTGGGAGAGAGTCATTATCAACACTAAGATGGATCCTTTTATTTAAGGAATCCCATCAGGGTCATTACTAGTAGATTCTCAAATCTGGGTTATTTGAAATTAGATTAAGATGTGATTAGAAGTTTTATCTCAAGTCATTAACATGCAAGCAACAATCCAACAAGCTCAGGTAATGAAAAATTTTCTGCCAAATGCATCCCACTGCTGGAAACTCACTCAAGTATTGAATAGTTGGAATGATTGTGAACGTATATAATTGGGAGATTCCCACCAGAAAATGAGAGACACCAGGATCCAAATGTCTCCATCAACCAGTTTCCATTAGCTTTCCTTCCATCCTGTTTCTTTACCCTATTTTTAGCTCATTATTGGGACGTTTTGTCTTTTGTTTTTGAGTAGATGAACATGAAAGATTTGTTATCTGTACCTTTCTCTTTGAAGCAAAGGTATTTTGTAATTGTGCATCTGCTTGGAATTTCCCTTCTGCCCTACTCAAAGGTGTGCTAAACCATCACTTTCTTGATTTTGTACCTAACGCCCTCCCCCTCTATGTCATTAATTTTAAACAACAAAAAAACGGTGTAGAGTCTTAGGGGGTTTTATGGCAGCGTAGCTCCAACACCAGCCCCTATATATATATCCAACCATGGGATACAGAAAAGAAGCACTTTACAACTAACACACAAGAAGCTAATGAACAAAATTCCATTGATTGCATGGCATCCCCACAAT